AGTAGCAAAAAAGTTTATCGTGTTTCGGTTAATAAATACCTTAGAAGCTAAAATCTTAACTTGACACGTTTCTGTCGAGTGAGATTTTGCAGGAATTCGCCTTCTTTCTTTTTACTTTCGAGTATCTACATGCCATATATTGCATCTCGCTACAAATCTGGCTTTTGGAGCCGAAGAACGTACTCGTGATTATCATTGGATAACTTAGTAAGAGGCGCCCTTAATTTGATAAATTTTAAATAATCGTTATTTATCCCGAGACTGATTCAGTGCTTTCGCATGTTACATTCATAAATAGAAATAGATTTTTGGTACTTATCACATTATTTACTGACAATACTTTCAAAAATTGCCACGAATATTTAATGACAAAGGGATGAACGTGAGGTATGAAAAATTTGATCTTCAAATTAACGGAAAATACGATTCTATACGCTGTAAATTTTTCGTAGAGAGTATTACTCCGCCAATCGTTAAGGCTGAAAAGCACATCGAATTAATAGAGCTCCTCCATTAAAGATATTTCGGTCATGGCCGTAAAATAATTAGCAATCCATTTTCTACGTGAACTTCATCTTGCAGTACGTTAATCATGCTACATCTCAGACAAAACGGTGAATTAATATACTAACTTTCTACTAAAGTTAATATATTAATTCACTGTTGCAGGCATTGCTTTTATCGAGATCGAAATAAATTAGAAACAAAACCATTACTCATAAAACAAACTTCATATCGTGTCTTTATTTTATCGAATTAAAAAAAATTTGAAATGTGCCTATTGTTTGAAAAAATCTATCAATATTTTAACTCCGCAAATGTTTCCTTGTAAACCAAACTCTCGCACAACAAATCATATGAGTTTTATTGGGGACTGGCCCATTAGACGAAATTTAAAAAAAGACCCGAAAGAAGATCGTTCATCCGCTGTATTCAGTATCCATCAACGCCCATTTGACCTCCGATGTTTATATAATCGCGCAGTACACATTTAATGTCAACAAAAGACCTTAATCTTCCTTTCATCTGAAGGACTACTCTCCATTCAGTGAATAAGTTAAACGGCCTAAACTATATCACCTAAAGTTTCGGGTTTTACGTCCAGTACTGCCTGCCTGAAGCATTGCTTCAGACGACTAGCTTCCGGCATGACACGACGTATACCTCTGCCCGCACTCGAATCTAGACCATCACATATTCCAAAGTTTACTCGGTAGGTATACACGTTACTAGTGCATCATCACGGACATTAACTACAACACTTCACGATTGTTTAGCTCGCTTATTTGCATTAGTGAAACTTCGTTCTTTTACGGCGCGCACCAAAAATCATTGCGATTGATAGGGGGTGGCAGGCATGCTTTAATATAAATGCTATTTATAGCCAGTCGCAATACAAATACTTCCTAGAGTGGTAGCTGGGGAAAAAGTAGCGGGAGATATTTAATACATTATGCAATAAATGACAATGCAATAAATGAGGCAATAAATATAATAAGCCTTCTGCACAGATGAAAAACACATTTGAAGACACTCAAAACTATGTGTCGATTTTTTAATGTTAGTCAGTACTTCTGTAAATTGTTAATAGTTAAAACAATATCAAGTAGACTTAGCTCTCAACGGCTTGTCAATATTCCACACTGTTTTTAATTGCATTGCAAAACATTATACAGTGCATCCCGAATTTTATTCCAGAAATGCTATTGCAGATAGGTAGTATATGAAAAATGTAATTTTCACGTCGCGGTCATTGTTTTGAGTGAAATCGAACATTAGATAAAGCATAACTGAAATATAAATTTTTGCGAAATCTCGTTTAAACAACAAAGTACACTGAAATGCTGTTTGGAGTACAAAAAACCTGCGCAACAAAACATCAAACACAAGCCGTTGTTATACTCTTTCCTAATCGTTTCGAAACCATTTAACTAGCGTCTCATATCAAATATTCATTTTCTGAAAATCAGTTAAATTGATTTCATCGCTTCAACATTTTTCAGCCTATTCAACTATTATATTCTATAATATATTCGCACATTTCAATGCTGTGCAAACGTATTTTTTGTGTTTAATTTTTTTTTTTTATGTTTTTCTTCTCTATTTCAATTTATATCCAAGTTATTCTATGCCCTGCTTGTCGATTTGAACGTATGAATTACGCTGAGTCTTTTTTGACTCTACATTTACTAAATTCATGAATACCGCCACTTCCTTACATTGACGATGGATTGGGTTAGTTAAGCGTTAAACTGTAAACACGATACTCTATAGTAACAGTTTTTACTTACTGAGGTCAACTTTTTTTTTTAATCACAAAAAAGTACTACCTTCGGCGGGTAATCTGCATCAAAGATAATCTCGTTTCTATGTTCTAAATTTAATAGGTGCTGTCGAGTACCAACCTTCATTGCCTCGCTGAGGCTACTCGGTACTTCAGGTTTTGCTGGAGATTCGCTCTCTCTACTAAACGCATCATTACGTTGTGGTCCCGGTGGCCGGCGCTGATCGGCCCGAAAGTCAATAAAGCCCCGTTCACCGTTATGAAACATGATGGCTGTTTATACGTGGTATACTCGAAATCCACTCTATATCACAATGTGATCACTGTTACCGAACAGACTCACACGGTATAAAATGCTAGGAAGTGTCTCCGAAAATAGAAATGCTTCAAGAACTCGTCGCTTCCACAGCGGCCATACAAAGAGTACGACCGTTTTATCAATTGTGTTCCTGATTGCAACCCCCGGACAGATCCAACCTCGGTCGCGGGGGTAGATCCGGACCACGCACAGAAGAACACTCATGCACTAACAAAGTATAATAGATCGCCTCGTAAGTGTGCACGAAGAGTAAAAACTGTTAGAGAATCGTCTCTTGCCAAAAACGAGCTGCAGGTGCGCATTTGGTGAAAAACGTTTTACCTGCTCAACGTTAGAATGACTTTGGACGCGATAGCACAACAGCAAATTGTGATAGAAGACACAAAAGAACGTACTCTTCGACTAAAATGTGCCGTTATTGTTATTGCCGTGTTTACAGTGTCTCTCGGATGTGTTCGGAGGCCGTGGGTGTCGTCTGCTAATGTTTTTATTATTGTTTCGGCAGACCGGCCGCTTCGAGCTGTTCTGAGCACAGCGTAACAAGTAGAATCCTTTGAGTGGGAAAGGATACAGTAATTGTTGATGAACGGTGGAGTTTTTATACCTTGGAGATTTTTCGCTGGATCGATCCTACGAATACTCGAAATTTCGAACAAAGAAAATACTGTTGAAGAATGTTATGAAATGAAGGAAATCTCATATCTAGAGATCCACATGTATGTGCAATATAAGCAACAAAACCAAAATTTCAAAAATACGTTTATAGTTATGATGCATACGGTAAAATTTCGTAGTAGTTTACGAAAATGTTGACCTTTTCTGTCATCTTTTATGTGTGATAGACTAAAGAAAACTATAACTTACATCTATGGGATTTTCCACTTTTGAACTCTGATATCTTGGAATTAACAAATATTTTAATAATAAAAAAAAATACAAAGGAGTATCTAATAAAACGTTGAAGAGTCGTTCACTTTTCGCGAATTTTTATCGTTCCTGAACAATCGTCTCAGTATAAAGTTTTGGCTTAATTTCGGAGAATGTAATGCTATGGCATCATTTCTTTACACTAATAAAGTTTTTTTTATGGTGATTCCATCCCGCTGAAAACTAGAAGTAAAATGATTCATATCTGAATATTACACATTCGAAAGAATTAGCAGAAGAACGCAAAGTATTGTTCAACTGTATATTGCAAATGCCTGTCGAGAATCATTGTTTACTCCAGCAAGAAGCAGACGATAGGTAAAACTAAGATTTATGCTGAAGCGGTAAAATTTAAAGTGATTTTGAGTGCTTGCTTAAATAGTTGGATACGTTTTGGGGAGTTCCGTAAATATGTCATAGATGAAGGGGCTGTTTACGCGATATGAGTTGCAGGAAATTTATAGGACAATAGTGTTTTCAGGCTGCATTTTTGAGCTTACAGAAATTTTCAATCGATCGTAACTCGTAACGAAATCACTTTCTAATTTTTGTTGTCTGAGTCGGTTCTCATTGTGACATTTACAGTCGCTGCTAAGAACATAAACGTATTATCGATAAACGGACCTTCAGTTGTGCCAATGTGTTAATCTATTCAATAAACACGACGGGTCAAATCGTTGGATATTTGCTGTTAGTCCAAATCGTTGCTGTGGATAACGTAACATCGTAACTTGATTCTTGCACAAAGCGAGTGTTCGTTTTATGTTTATCTTGGCAAATCATTTTAGAACCTGTCAGAGTTCAGACAACATTAGAATGTAGTGTTTTCATAAGACAGACATCACGGGCGGGGCAGTATGCATGGATAAGTCATTTCAACGCAGACAGATTTTTTTTGCCTCTTCGACCTTTTTTTTTTTTGCAAACCGAGCATGAACACGAGTAGGTCCTGTTCAAGTGCTCAACCTGTAAATTTGTTTTTTGTGAATTAGGGATGTTGCGAATAGCGCATTAATCGTCGTCCATTTCCATGCATTAGTATGTCTGTTGGAAGCGCGAACTAGTTATTTGAACTAGTGCGGTAAGATTATGAATTACAATGATATCTTCTTCACGAACATTGTCGTTCACGAAATCACAGATTCTCCAATGCCTCCGAGTACGATTTTTTAAGCTATCGACCATAGAATAAATTGTTCTTGGTCTACACATGATTTAGAGCGATGGCATTGAAATGTTTTGGATCGCTTTTGAGTTCGATTATAATCGAACTCGAGTGTATCGAACGAAAGCTTGACGTGCGTGTACTCAGTCTCAGAGCCACACAGTCTTCACATCTTCACATAGTTGATGTCTGTCTGTATGTACGGGTAAGCAGGGATATTCTTTTCGAAGCGCTTTCGAAAAATGTCGAATAATTCCGTAGTTATCATTCAGGAATAAGTTATGTACCAACTATTTTCCTACCTACCATAGCTTTTATTACAGCATATTTGTTTATCTGAAAGGATCATCTAGATGCGGTTAATCGAATTGCTGTCTTCGACTCAGGGAACTGTGGTTTTTACTCAAGAGATAAATATAAGCTTTTAGTTATAAAAAGTTCATTTGTATACTTGAAATTTATAAATGTTTTGAGTTTTATTTCTGGTACTACCGTTAGATCGCAAATCTAAAAGAAAGTAGTAAAAAGGTTTAAAGCATTATTCCAGAAAATAGTTGATTCGAATGAAAACTAAATAAGTATTTCTTTATCCAATCCGAAATCAAAGATTTAGGATTATCAATCGATAAATCCAGAAGGCGATTCGAAGGAAATAGGTAAGAGTCTTAAAGGACACGCAAATACCTAAAGATGTATTTTACTTATGTTAATTTTCGATTTTTATGTAATTCCGGTCCTGGAAACTTCTGTGGAACTGTTGTCTTCGAACCTCCTCATAATCCGTTGTTTCGTTAATAATTTTATTAAAAAAAATTGTAATTGGTGTGGACAAACAAATACGTCAAAGCTTCTAATGGTGTTAAATACAACTTTAATTTACACACACATCAAATTTAGTTTTTACGTTTATCTATACCTCTGTGCGTTTGTATTTCTTTCGACTTTGTGGCCACACAGTTCCACAGATTCTATTACAAAAAAATACCCCTTACGGTCAGATTTCTGTATTAATGTGTGGAGTTAGTCGAGACTTAACTACGGAAACCGACCCTAGGCAACAGCGAACAAATAAATTGGATTTTTGATTAACGCATCCTCTTTCTTTACTCGTAGATATCCCTAGAATTTTAGACTTTATCCTTGTAGGTGGCACGAACGCCCTGACTTGCATTGACGTGCCTAGGGTCTATTGTACAAACCAAACGACAGGGCTTTCGTCATTTGGATCACTGAATAGCCGTTATAAAAGTCTAAGCGGACTTCGGAATCATCGATTGGACAGTCAAGAGTAAGTCGAAATCAGACCCCACACTCGAAGAACTTCCAAAAAGCTTCGTAAATGCCCATAGAATGCTGCCGGAAGCAACTATAGCACCTATTGTTACGCATATGGGCTGTTATTCTCTGTCCCCATACATCACGGGTCTCGGGCAGTACTCTTGGGAGGAATAATCTTTCTAAACAGCTCGAGAAGCTAATATTGAATGCGCATTCTTATTTGCGTTTTTGGTAATATTAGATTTTCATTACGGATGCGCGAGTAATATGCAACGGAAAAACGAATGACCGCTTCAAAGTCTGCAAGGTTCCTGGTCTGGGTCGTTGCTGCCATTATTATTATTTCGGAACTTGTTGACTCGCTTCGTCCTAACCTTTCTGTCCAATCTTCCCTCAAATGATGGTAGTTATGGAGCCGCTTGAAGTCCTGTCAGTAACTTGTTGAACTGTTGTTATTGCAGCATTTGTGCCTTTTTGTTGAATTTTATAAGAAATAGATCAGATCGATTCCTTGATTACTTTCGAATTAACAAAAATTTTTTTGAATTAGGCAAGAAAGTTGTAAGCGAAAGCGTAGTACGTCATTGGTACGAACGGCAGAAACGTAAATTGGAGTGTTAAAAGCAAACGAGTACGCGACCAGATGTCGGGACCCGATGAACAAGTGCGCATTGCTGCAATCAAGAGAACTTTTCGCAAAACCAGAGCTTAAAGTCTAAAAATTGCATCGCCCTAAACTAGATTTCACGTATGATGTTATAGAAGTATAGCATTACATATGTTGAAAATGCGGAAACTGAGTAAAAAGTGGGTCCTCCGCGAATTGTATCCAGAGCAATAGGAATTCCACGTGCAATTTGTGTGCAATGAAACATGAATGCAGGCTGCTAAGTCGAGTTTCTAAAGTCCCTTATGGACTCTTGGCACGGCAATCAGGAGCATGCAGTCCGTTTACTTGATGACAACATCAAACGTTAATGATATGCAAGCAAAAATTGGCTTCAATTCACTTATTCCCCCGATTTAAGTCCGTGTGATTATGAGGCCTCCCATGGCCTAAAAAGGGCAATTGGAAAGCGAGCATATTTTTATGATAGACTTACCTAAATATGCTACTGCATATAAAAACGTGGTTGGTTGGTATATAGTTGTCTAGAAGCCGCTAGGCCGCTGGAATAGGTGTATAAAAAATAAAAAAAAAAAAGCATTTCTCATTTATATTAAAAAGCCTTCATTCTAGACGAATTAGTTAAAAAGTTATCCAATTTTAAAGTCCGCCAGATTCGCTTGTAGAAGCTCAATATCTATTGACGATTTCTTGGCTTATTAATCATTATTGAACGAATGTCGTCCTCAAACACCATAAAGTAGCATTTATTTTATTGCTTCTGTATGATTTTGGTGTAATTTTTGACTGAAAAAAACAAATGCAAGAATTTATTAACTAACGCTAATTGTAAGTAACTAGGCAAGTTCTCACTTGATTTTTTTCAGGTTCGGCGTACTACGAAATGAAATATACTTACGAGTATTTCGAATCAAGTTCAGAATTGTCTAAGAGGATTAGACAACTCTGAATTTGTTTCATTTATTAGAAGAATCACTAATTTAAAAATTGCAGTCCCTTATTTTTGATCGTCTTCACTTACGTCTTCGAAAAACATCTGAATACGAAAGAACCACGTCTCAGATTGAAGATGTAGGAGTACATACACTTCTAGATATTGTTTTAGTATGAAATTCTGAGTAAGTTCCTTGAAAATAGTTCATGATAAAAGAATAACACATGTATTCTGGCACAAGTACTGCATATCTTAATGCTAGCGTTGATCAAGACACGGGGAGTGTATACCGCGACTTTAGCTATATGCTTGACTTAACAGAGTAGCAACTACCGCTTCCTTCATTATTTTTAAGCGTCTTTTAAGCATTCCTTTGTCCATTGACTGAACCATCGCATTTTCCTCTGATTTCAACCAAGTATGAATTCTGAACCCGAAGGAGTTTTTTGGTGCGGTTCTCGCGGAAACTTACTTTTAGGTTCTCTACTTTTAGTTAGGTTACTTTTAGGGTCAATTACAACGGACTGGCCGTATCCTTTCCTTCTTTCTCTCGTAGGCCTTTCGAGGTTTCAACCGAAAGCTGTCAATTTTACTAGCCTAACATCCTCAGGATTGTGTCGTGT